TAGGAGTGAAGGTTTTTGAGCAGGGAAGGGACGGCTCAAAGCAGGGGTGAGCCACCCCCAGCCGTCGGATTGAATCCGGCTCTTCTTTGGCCCCACTGAGTTCTCAGGGAGGCCCATGCCTTCTTCCCTCTAGCATCATCCTCCTTTTGCCAGCTTTTGCACCTTCTCGAAGGTGGGCAGGCGAGTGGAAACGAGAGGTTTGAAATGGAAGTATGGTGATATTTTTTGGGGTGGTGGTGGTGGAGGATGGCTTTCACCTATCCCCCTTTGGAACCGCCTGCCACAAGAAGGGGTCCCACCCCCAGAGATTCTCCAAAGGTTGAATCCAGGGCTATCAAAATGCTTGGTGGTATACGGAGCGCCTGATGAGATTAGCCACTGCCCTGGAGCGTGTTCGGTCTTAAAAAAACTGTCATAAGGCAGAGAAGAGATAGAGAGGGAAATCAAGAGGACGGCCATTCAGAATTTTTGCACAACAAATCCCATCATTCTCAGTTCTGGGTGTTCCAACTAACACAGAGTGAGAGAGACCTAAATGTGGCTCGCCTGGGAACAAGGCCAGCCGCTGCCCTGGAGCGTGTTCGGTCTTTTAAAAAACTGTCGAAAGGCAGAGAAGAGATAGAGAGGGAAATGAAGAGGACTGCCATTCAGAATTCTTACACAACAAATCCCATCATTCTCAATTCTGGGTGTTCCAACGAACAGAGAGAGAGAGAGACACACCTAAATGTGGCTCGCCTGGGAACAAGGCCTAGCCTGAAAGGCTTTGTGGTTAAGCACAGGCCGAGTTCTGTCCAGGCTTCCTGTTCAGATAGGAAGGTGCCCCAGTGGTAGCTGGGAGTGTCCATACTGAGGAGAAAGGTAGGGGGAGCTTGGCCTATGCTCGTCTATGCAGCATTACAGCTTAGGCCTTTCTCCCAGGCGAGCCACATTTAATAAGTGGAAATCCCAGAACGGAGAATTTTGGGGTTAGTACTCAAAAAGTTTCCAACGGCATATGTCTAGAAATCAAGTCCTCCAGGAGCTGTTCAAGGTCCTGAACTTATTTCCTGGCTCAGCCCCTTTGGCAGAGTCTGTAAAGTTCGGCCTGAATCCGGAGCGGATTCACTAAGCTGCTAAAATTGGGCCTACCAGCTTCCGTTAGGTCTGAGGGAACATCGGTTTGACGTCAGCTAAGAGAAGAAGCTATGCAAAGATGTCCTGTGATGCAGCTCTCCGCATGCTGGAGTGAAGAGAAATGGCAAAGACTACAAAACCCATGGATTCAGGCAGGAACCATTGGGAGCTTGAGCTGTTTTTCGGGGATAATGCAGCACCAACACGGCGTTTTTCCTTCTTCTCCCGCAGAGCAACCCCCAAAAGTGTTTCCATTACCCCAGGGATCACGGAATTCCTTGCATGGCTAACAACGAGCGAAATCCCGGTTGCACCCAAATCCTTGTGGTTCTTAAGGTGAGTTGGTCTCTGGAGGCCTCGAAGGAGAGCAGCGTGCTAACATTTGTGATGCCACGTCAGAGCTCTGCTGGGAAGAATTAGGGTCATAATGTACCTTGCCTAAGGACTTGATTCCTTCTTTGATCTAAGATCAAAAGTAAATTGCCAGTACAGTGGTGTATCGCTTAGCGATTTCATCGCTAAACGATATTAAAAAGCCCATAGAAACGCATTAAAACGTGATTAATGCCTTCCTATGGGCTTAAAAACTCACCTTTAAGCGAAAATCCTCCATAGCACTGCCGTTTTTGCTGCCTCTTAAGCGAGGAAAAACAGCGGGAACCCATTTTGTTTCCCGGCGGCCATTTTGAAACTGCCGATCAGCTGTTTAAAAAGGGTCACTTTGCCATGATCGCTTCCCCGCGATCATGGCAAAGCGAAAAAAACCCATAGGGACCATCACAAAGCAATTGCTTTTGCGATCACAAAAACTCTGTCGCTAAGCAATTTCATCGCTCAATGGAGCGATCGCTATGCGAGGCACCACTGTACATTGAAAAGCTTTAAAACTTAATACAAAGGGGGGAAAGGGGGAAAGTCATGCTGTAATTGGTATAAAATGCAACAGTATAAAAAGCTATGGATGGGAGCATCAGTATGGTTTCAGGACATGGAGATGAATATAAGGAAATATGTGTTGTTTTTATACTTCTGGTTGGGGTGGAGGGAAGGTTTCCTCTTATACTAGTATTCTTTGAGCTACCTAAGGCCCGGCCTTCGTACTAATGGAATTAGGAGAATAATCTTAACACCAACATTCGCAGATCATGGAAGAGTGAGAATAATCCATTCATGATACGGTTGTGAAATACCACAAATCCGTCTAAGATCTGGGAGGCTTCCCAAAGCCCATTGCGACCACTTCCTCTTCAAACAGGAAGTTAGGCCAACCCAAAGCAGGAAGCCTGGCAGCTAGGCCTTCTCTCCAGGCGAGCACAATTTTTGGCTTTGGTAAGGCCTGGGCCCTGCAGGTTGGGACTTCAGGAAAGCAGAACGATGGGATTTGCAGTCTTAAAAAGTCCAGAAAACACACTCTTCGTAGCGACCGTTTCCTGGCTCTCTTGACAACTACGATTTTCTCTCCCACTGTAGGACCTTCTTTTCAGTGTTTGCGGCCTGACTATTTTTGCCATCGTGGTCTGCACCCTTTCTGCCATTATGTGTTGCATCCACATCTTTTCCGTGGATCTCCTCCATGTGGTGAGTTTTCGAGAAAGACAGGTCTGTTATCACAGCTTCGCACGAGCTGAACTCCGAGATGGAATTGAGATCTTTCCTAAAAATTCTGGCCCTTCTAACTGGACATGCTGGGGGTCGAACCTGGGACCGTCTCGGCCCACAAGGTCATCAGGACAGCTTCCCGTGGCCTGAGACTTCAAGGCAAAATTTAGAGACGAGAAAGTGGGCCCTTGAGATATCCATAAGGGCCCACCTTCAGAGGCAGGGCCTGAGTGAAATCCCTCGTGTAGCTGTCAAGTAATCTATAGCTCCATGGTTTAGGTACCTGGCTGCAGAGCCACAGGTTGGGAGTTTGATTCCCCCCACTGGGAGTCCTTGACAGCGGCTGGACTCAATGAGCCATAGGGTCCCTTAGCAGCTGGACTCAGTGAGCCATAGGGTCCCTTCCAGCTCTGCTCTTCTCAGATGACAGTCATGATGATGATGACAGGAGCAAACAAGAAGGTCAGAATGGTAGTCACCAAGAGGGGATCATCTAGAGAAAGTAGATCAGAAAGGTGCCAACCAAGAGGGGATCCTATAAACCATATTAGAACGATGCCTGTAGACTTATTGATGGCACACACACTCCACCGTATTCATTTGCCCTGTTGGTTTCTGTCTTCCCACCTAGCTTTCTCCACCACGATCCAGCTCGGTAACGCTGGATTGCACCTCTCCTCCAGACACTTTTCTACCCCACATGCTGGATCTGGATGAGTTTGTTCCTCCCATTCCTCCGCCACCATATTATCCACCAGAATATACCTGCAGTTCAGAGACAGATGCTCAAAGGTGAGGGGAACTGGGGGGGGTTAGTGGAAGAGGAGGGCCCCCTAGAACGCTTGGGTGTGTGTGCGCAGGATGGAGACGAATGTTTAGCTCTGATTTGATCCATCCTTCTTTTCCTTCCTCTGCTGTTCAGAACACAGGAGCGGAGGCAAATAAGAAAAGCTGGCAGACGGGGATGTGATTATTGGATTTTCCACCATCATTCTCCATTCTGTGAATTCTACTTGATAGGCAGAGCGCCTAAAAGACCCCTAAATGTGGCTCGCCTGGGAGAAGAGCCTTATGAGGCTCAGTGAGGCTCAGCTAGGCCTAGCTTCCTGCTTCAAAAGGAAGCTCCGATCTGACACTGGGGCAGGAACAGGAAGCTTGAGTGCAGCTAGGCCTAGCTTGGCCTCCAGGCTTTCAAATTCTAGGCCCTTCTCTCCCAGGCGAGCCCCATTTAGGTGTTTCTAAGGAGGTAGAACTGCTAGAAGGGAGAATGACGGTGTTATTGTCCAGGCAATTCAAAAAAATCTTATCCCAACTAGTAGCAGTTCCACTTGGGAATAACATGATTTGGGAGGGAAGAAGCTCAACGTATCTCGGACTGGGATATGGGAAATCAAGGTTTAACTCTCCAGTAAGCCATCAAATGCAATGGGTGAGCTCAGGTTCATCCTGCATGTTCAGCCTTGGTCTACCTTGCAGGGGTGTTAGGAAGAAATAAATGTGGGCTCAAGGGCGAAGCAAGCTATGTGGGTTGTCGAGGTCCTTGAAGGTTTGGGAGGCACCAACACAGCTAATAAATAATGGCTATGGGGAAAGGGAAGAAAATGTGGATGTACCAAATTCTTACAGCAGAATGGGGCAGCTGGTTCATGCCTAACCCCTTGTTTTCTCCCATTTTAGTATTACGTACAATGGTTCCATGGACAGCCCGGTACCCCTGTATCCCACCGACTTCCCTCCAAGCTATGAGGCAGTCATGGGTCTCCACGGTGACAGCCAGGTATGGGAGGAAGGAGGACGAGGGGCGGCCTTCCTTGTCTGGGCTGGACCTGCCACGAAGCAGAGAGTGGCGACAGTCTCGGGTGTCCAGATTTCGGGTGTAGCTGTAACAGAACGTGCGGGGGGGTGTTAACATCATTTTTTCTTCTTATAACCTGAGACTTTTGAGGCGGGGGGATTGTCTGTCACTTTCTGTGGGTGTTTTTGCCGTGGAAGTGATACATTCGTGACAGCGCTTGAAAAGCAACTAATTTATATTATTTGCAACTTGTTGCATTTACGTGCGATGCTTCTTGTAACTTTTCTGTTCCTTTCCATTTCTTTGGCTTGAGGAGTAATCGGAATAAACATGGGAAATGCCAGTCAGAATGGCTTTCTGAAAAGCCCTTTGAAAGTAAAGTAACTAGGAAACATCGTCATGATCACCCAAATAGAGTTACTTTGTCCTGCAGGTCCTGTCACTTTTGAAATGTAATTTCGTTCTGTCCTTCTTACCCAAGAAGCAATGTAACTAGTAACTTGTAACTAGTTACTTATGTGCTCCGTTTCCTGAGCTGGATTGCCTGCTAACGGGCTGTGCCTCTCTTGGGCAGGTGACGCTGTTTGACTCGCAGTTCACCGACACCTCGCACGGGCCCTGCTCCTGCAACCGGGTTCCTTCCGTTGTGCTCAGCGGAGAAGGTATGGACTCACTGGGGGCACCCCTAAATTATTCTTACACCCAGAAAGGCCCATATATGTAAGCGAAGGACGTTTCCTGAAGCCACGAGGGTGCACACTCCATTGAAAGGTCGCCAACTTAGAAGCGTCCCGCGCCGCGAGAGTTCAGTTTGAATCCGGAGACTGGACCCTGAAACCGGAGCGCTTTTGCACGAGTCTTGTGCTCGCTGTGGTGCCTCTGTGGTTGCATTCTGGCGGGACATCCTTCCTTCTTCTCTCTCTTCTCCAAAGGGGTCTCCGTGGACAGCGGCTCCCTAGCGATGTCCGAAATCGTGGATCTTGCCGGCGACAGCAGCCCGTCCGAAGACTCCTGCCTCCTGGAAGGGAGCGGCTCAGCCTGCTCCGTGGACTACGTGCTCTTCCGCTCCATCCAGCGCAGCCGGGCAGACTACTGCCTGAGCATGGACTGTGGCCGGTGTGGCCTGCACCCGCAGGGCCCCTTCGAGGAGGCCCCCCAGGCCCGCCTGCGCGGGGAGCGCTCCTATTCCTGCTCAACGCCTGGCACGGGCTACGGCGGCTCGCTGGAAGTTGGCAGTGCCTTGACCCACAGCTGCCACCGCTTGGAGGGCCTGGGGCGCAGCGTCGGCCCTTGCTTCCCCGAGGTGCGGGTCAAGGCCAAGGCCAAGGGACCCGGGCGACAGCAGCGGCGGAGCAGCGAATCATCCTTCCGCTTGCCGTCGGTCCAGGGTCTCCTCGTGAGGTCGCACAGCGATCCTGGCATTGCAATGGCCAGTGACACTGGTGAGTAGGTAAACGCTGGGGTTAAGGCAACAGCAGAGCCATTTGGGTTTTTCTGCGGTGTATGTGTGTGTGTGTCTTAATTTTGTTGTGGATCTTCGGATGAGATCTTCCATATATCTTGCCCGTTTCGGTTGTCTGAACATGATGAGACACCTGTGGTTTATCAAGCCCCGTAGGATTGCTCACTTGGGATTTTCTGGACTACAATTACCATCATTCTCTATCTGAGGAGTTCTACCTGCTTTGCAGCCACCTTAAAAACATCTCAATGTGAAAGAAAAACTTCCATTAGAAGATTTTGAAGCCTAGTTTAGGCAGGCTAGGCCTAGCTTTCTGTTTCTGCCCCGGTGCGAGCTGGGAATTTACTCCTTCCTTCCTTCCTTCCTTCCTCAGCTCTTTCTTTCTTTCTTTCTCTCCACCTCTCCCTCCCTCCCTCTCTCCCTCCCTCCCATCCATCCATCCATCCCTCCATCCATCCATCCATCTATCCATCCATCCATCCTTCCGGTTACTATAAGGGTTGCAATACAAAAAATGACTCTGTTCTTAAGGATTTTTTTCTCCTGGCTTTCCTTCCCTCATTGTTCTATGCAGAAGGTGACTTCCAGGAAGTATTCTGCACCAAGGCATCAGAGGATGATGGATCCAGTTCCTCAGCAGATCCAGGTAAGGGGAGTAACTTCTCAAGCAACTCTTGGGTTTCCATTTCCGACTCTGATGGGGGTAGTGATTAGCGGGATTATGCCCACCTAAAATGTGGCTCGCCTGGGAGACCGGGCCTAGACTAGAAAGCTTTAAGACCCAGCTAGGCCTAGCTTCACCCGAGCTTCCTCTTCCTGCCCCAGTGCTCGCTGGGAGTTTTCTTCCAGAACAATTTGAAACATGGCTGGTTATCATAGTTCATCTGCTCCTGCAGGTGACCTGATGATTCAGAGGTCAAAGACTTATTTCCCTTCACTCCTGGCATGTCGTGGCATGTCGTTCTCTCATTAAGGACTAGGACAAGTCACAAAAGTTTAATTGCCTTTGCTATTTTTAGTAACAGCTGTCATCCTTCTTATTAGGAAACATGTACGAGGATAGAAAAATGCATCCTTAAGATCCTCTGGATCGCAATACGGGTTATAGACACACAGGCAGGTTTTATAGCAGTTGTTCGGGCTGAAATCTTATTTTTAATCCAGCTAGAGTAGACCCATTGAATCCATAGGATGTAAACACAAGTGTTCCAACAGTTGAGTCAGTGGGTCAGGAATTGAAATAGGATTTATGCTTTTGTGGTTATGGTCGTTTTCTCCGGCGAAGGGCTGTTAATGATTAAAATCATCATCAATGATGGCTAGGCCTGACCCAGCTTGTGAGTTTGCTTTCCCTCATCTCTGCTCAGGACCATGTTCGGGGGGCTGCGTTTCGCACCCGGGGCCGCCCTCCCAGGCTCACCCGCCAGGAAAGGCCAAGCTGGAGTTGCCACGGAAAGTCCCTCTCCACCTGTCCAAGACCGCCACGCGATCCCTGGGGGACCTGAAGGTGTGTCGTGGCAGCCGTGGCCTCGTGGCCCGCTTCCTGCACCGATCGAAGCGCAACCTGGCCTCCGCGGGCAGCGACGTGGCCGGGCGCGGCGGTGCCCAAGGCCGCAAGCAGGTAAGGGAGCGAAAGAGAGCAGGGTGTGGACATTCAGGTAGACTGCCTCTAAATAGAGAGGTTCCATTCTTTAATAAGGTCGGTAATAAGCACCCACCCACACGGCTTCTGCTGTCATGTCTGGCTCTCCTTCCCTGAAAAACCCTGTGGCGTAGATCAGGTTTGAGAAATCACGATTGGCCTAAGGTTCCCCAAGAGAGGATTCGAACCCAGGACACGCTAAACTACCGCACCTCGCTGTCTGTTTGGCTGCAGGCTTCTGATTTTATTAAGCCCTGAGTTTTTAAAAACATCCACACTCACAAACAAAGGGAAAAAAAGAAAATCCTTATGCAGGTTTTTGAATTAGACACAGAGCCTCCGGAAAAACACAAGCAGCCCACAATTAAGAAAAAGTAATGATTGTTTTTCTAATTTTGAGATAGTATTATTTGTTTGGGAATCCCTAAACCTCACAAGGTCAATGAACTGTGCTGGCTAATTAGAGTTAAGTATCCTAATTACTTGGGCTTACCTGAAAGAAGGGGTCAGGCCATGACACAGGATAAGAAATTTTTACAGGCAATTTAGCAAGGAATGCATTTCTGCCCGGCTGAAATTCAAGGGATGTTGTTCTGGAATGTAATGCCTGCTAATTAATTCTTTTTAGAAGGCGGTTTATCTCTGAAAAGCCCACTTTAGAGGGTTTTTTCCTGTGGTCTGTCTCTCAGAAATCCTGTGTAGGTAACAGCCCTGAAGCAGGGAAGAATGAATGAATGAATGAATGAATGAATGAATGAATGAATGAATGAATGAATGAATGAATGAATGAATGAATGAATCTTCATTCATTCATTCATTCATTTATTCATTCATTCATTCATTCAACTTGTATACCACCCCATAGTGCATAGCACTCTCTGGGCGGCTTACAGCAGTCAATGCAAACAAATAAAATTCAAAAAGAAAACAAATAAGCAGTTTACATCAACGATTAGTCCTCTGCCACCAGCATTTAAGTAAACATTGAAGAAAACATTTAAACAACTTTAAATCCGGGTCAACGTTAGCTAAAACCGCTTGAAAATGTTTGCTTTGTGACAGCTCAGGGCATACAGCAAAGAGTTTTGGATTGTCGCTCCCTGAATCCAACGGTAACAAAGCCCCCCCCCCAAGCATTTGTCCAAACATTTGTCATTTTGGAAAGCCTCGTTTTACAAAAAAGGAGTCATTTCTCACTTTTTAACAAGGGCCCACGGAACAAACAGCATAGGTTGCCTAAAGCTGGCCCAAGTTTCTAGTCCCTAAGAGCGTTAGAGGTAGGATTGGTCTGTGAACGTGCTCTGTGGCTGTTCTAAGACCGGAGACGCTTTCTCGATCCTGTCGATTGTGTTTCTCCTGCCTTGTTGTCGTGAAGACACTGACAGCCAGCATGTGAGTTGATCTCTGATAGTGCATATTAACTCTCGTTTTCAGGGGTCAAGGTGGCGGGCCGAGCGCTGCTCCCCGGAGGGGATCCACCTGCAGAGCTGCGGCGACCTCAGCTCCACCTCGTCTTTGCGCCGGCTGTTTTCGGGACGCCGGCTCGAGCGACGAAGACCCCGCAGCCTGAGTGGACTCGTCCGAGAGAGTCACATGTGAAGGGGGGGGCGTCGAGATGGTCTTTCCGCTGCTTTTTCTCGGGGGGGTCTCAGACTTGGATCGGACAACTTGTACCTGAAAGAATTGGGATTGGGGCCTTTTTTCCGTCCCGTTCCTCAGAGAGAAACCGACAGAGGGGCGCTTATTCGGGTTCGGATCCACCGTTCTGAATTCCCCGGGCGATGCTCACAAGGGCCACGACCCTGGTCAACTTCCTTTCTTCCCTCCCGTGGATCGGTACATCTTACAGAGGAATCATCCCGTCTTGCTCTGGAGGAGGATTTCCTAAACCCAAAGATACGGTTCAGTGGGGAATCTCTCACCCCCTTGGCCCTTGGTACCTTGTACACGCTGGTGATTCTGGGGCACACTTGTGGAAGAGGCTCTCACTACTGGCGTGTCAGCTCCGAAGGTGCCAGCCTGCAGCGTGCCTTCTTGTGGGAGAAAAAAGGACCCACGTGTCGAGTGATGTCTCTCACCCGCCCTGGCGTTTCACCTTCCAGTGTGTTGATCGGCAGGGCAACCCGCTGATCTGTTTTACCCACGCAAGGGTCCCTTGGCCATCGCTTGTGAAAGGAGCGGTCGGTGTCGGTGCGTGCAGGGAGATCTCGGCCATCGTGGGTCAGCTGATGACCCCGTTTCACGATCGCCCGCCGCCCTGCCCAACGATAGCCGGTTGAGACCACTGGAATTGCCGTGGTGCCGTCCTAAGGGAGGATGGAATCTGTAGTCTGAAGGGGGAGGACTCGGAATTTGCCTCTGTCGTTCGGGCAAGGGCACAGAACAGCTTCTCGGCGGGGTCTCTGAAACTGAGATTTGATGAGATGGGGGCGAAAGTGTTTAAAGTGGGATCGAACGGCTGTAGAAAACTGCAGTGCAGACGCCCTCCTGGTGCAGGAGCTGGGAGCTGCGTTTTCCGTGCCGGGCGGTGACTTCAGGCCTACCTGTGGGACCTCGTTTTCGCCATGCCTTCGGTTCGAAACAGGATAAAACCCGACAGATTCTCCCAGATCCCTGTGGAGGAGAGGGGAGCGGAGGGAGGCTTCTCAAGAGAATTCCCCAATCATCTTCCATGCCTCAAAAAGGGACTGGACCCATCGCAACGCAGGAGAAAGATTCGGACCGGCTAACGGCTAAATGGACCCTCCAGGCTCAGGTGCAGTCTATCTTGAAATTGCAAGTCACCAGGATCATGTCAGACGAGGCCCATCTTCCTTTGGTTGGGCCACCACGCTATATCCCACTCCCCTGAGTATTGCTCTCTTACTCAGATAGAATGCGTCTGAACCTGGAGGGTCCTTTTACTCATGGCCAGTTCTAAATCGTCCTTGCCTGGTCCTTAATTTTTTTCCAAATTCCTTTTGGAGCCGCGTAAAAGTTCGACAGAGGCCGGGATCTCGAGGACTCAAAAGAGCATGGAATAATGTGGTAGTGGAGAGTTTAATGTCGTATTTTGGGGGGTGGGAGAGCAGAGAAAAGGATCCAGATTTGAGGGTACCATCTTGATCCAGTGCCCCCTCCCTTTCCCATATAGATGCTCCGTGGCCTGGGTAAGGAAATTTCCCAGAATCCCCTGTGGGGAATACCCAGGGGCATCGTGGGTAATTCAAAGCCGTAGTTAGCTGTCAGCTCCCCTTGAGCACAGAAGCTCTAGAGGGAAAGTGCCCCCCTCAAGCAGATGTTCCAGGATGCCAGATGTTGATGCCAACCTGGGGCAGGGTCTGGGAGGGAGGAAGATATGCCAGTTTCTGCCTCGGGCGGAAAGAACGAGCTGAAATTTGCTTTTTTGTCCTTCCATTTGATTCTGTACCCTTGGGTTCTTGTCTTTCCAAAAAACCCTGCCACCTGAGGTTGGACAATGAGATCTAGCATCCCTGATTCCTTTTTTAAAAAAGGAAGTCCTTCCCTCTTTGCATGCCACGTCCTGCGGCGATTGGAAATCGCTCTCCTCCCTATTGGGGTCTCGCACTTCCTCTTTCCCCACAGACTTTAATGCAAACCTGTAGCATCCTTCAACACTGCATGGGGCTTTTCTGGAAGGCCACATTGTGTGTGTTTTTTTCTAAACAGGAGGGGAGAAAAAAATGGGAGCACAGGTTGGGAAAGAGGGTTGCCAACTTTTTTTCTGGGCAGGGTGCCACTGCTTTTTTCCCCCCCTCACTGCATGTTGAGCAGGTGAAATTCAGCAGGAGTAACAGGGAGGTGCATGCCGGCCAGATTTCTACCTGCTATGCAGAGCTGCTAAAGGCGGAGGAGCACTGGGCACGGGGGGAGGTGGCAGCTTTTCTTGGCACCCTGGATAAAGCTCGCCGCTGGCGGAGAAATACTTACCTGAGAAAACCAAATAAAGCCATATCTATCTATACACTGAGCTTTAGGCTTGATGTCTTCATTAAACACGTACGCAAACCCTTGGATCCGAGGAAATCCATAGTTTGGGCCCATTTTCCCCCCAGCGGATTTTCCAACTCCTTTGTGACATTAATCACTAACCAGAGAAAATGCAAGAAGGGAAGTTTTTATCCTACTGTTGCATTTCCCTGCTAGGAGTAGCTCCACCAGTCAGATTTCAACTTCTCTCGATGCTATTTCATGCTACAGGAGAAGTTATGGCCAGTGTCACCAGAAGCTGTGCAGGATCTACCCTCAAGGTGCCAAACACCCGATTCCCAGCACCCCGGAGAGCGCCTTTAAAATTCGGACTAAAATCCAGAACGGATCCGTGGCCTCTCCTGGGCGTTGCCGTCACAGACTTCCAGTGATGTAAAAATCTTTGCAAAGTCAATTAGGCATGAGGATGATGACAGCAGCAACCAAGAGGAGATCATTCTAGAGAATGTTAAGTCAGAATGATAGCCACCAAGAGGGGATCATCTAGAGCAGCAGTTCCCAAACTCGAGCCCCACCCCCAGATGTTCTTGGCCTGCAATTCCCAGAAGCCTTTTCACCACCCGCTGTCCTGGCCAGGATTTCTGGGAGTTGTGGTCCAAGAACATCTGGGGACCCCAGGTGGAGAACTGCTGGTCTAGAGAGCGTAGGGAGTCTTGCTGATTTTTATTAAGATGATTTGCAGTGTGGAAGGAGTGGCGATGCCACCCACATCTGGGGCCTTGTCAGCATGAATCAAGGGCATGTCGGGAGGCGGCTTGAGCACCTTAGGGAGTGGGAAGCACTTTGCATACAGAGGATTTGCCGACGGGCAGATTTAACAGGACTCTCGCAAGCCGATTCTTGGTAGGGCTGCTTTCCCCCTTCTACGCATGGCGGCGTTCCTGGGCCTCATCCACCCATCTCTTTTCGCATCACGCCGGCCGGGAGGACACCCGCAGAAGACTTCGTCGTGCTGAACAGAAGGGAGCCTGGCATGGCTTAAATATCTGAAATGCATCTGCGGTAGAAACTGAGGCAGGGGGATCCAAAATGGGATTTGCAGGAAGAGCGAACGGGGGTTGGTTTCATAGGGCTGGATTGCTCTGCCTGTGCGGCTTCTTGGTCTCTCCACTCCCTCAGCTAGGAAAATGGGAAGAAAAGGTGCAATAGGATGGGGGAGGAAATGAGAAGGTCATTTCAGAGGTCATTCTGCACATCCATGCGATGCAGAGGGGTTCCCGGATTTCGACAGGACAAGTCTCTCAGGGCTCGGAACCGTTCGAATTCTTGCTTATCCTAAAATCGCAAATAGGCACGCACAGAACGGACTTTGGACTATTGTGGAACGTTTTCACTAGTCCTGACTCTGGCTCAGGGAATCTGAGACGGCAGAAGCATGAACTCCAAACTCCACCTATTACAGGAAGGTGAGGAGAATCCTGGCTGGTTCGAAGCGGTCGTGTTGGACTACAACTCCCATCAGCCCCGGTCAGCGCAGACTGCAGTGAAGAAAGCCGGGAGGGGCCAAAGACCGAAGGGCTGCGTTTCTCAACTTCGGAAATAATCGTGAAAATGGAGTTTTTCATTCCTCCGACTTGGACAGGGGTCCTGAAAGTCTATCGGTTGCTGCAGCGAAGAGGTTGCCGTGCCGGGCGATCTAGCAACACTTGGAAGGTGGAAACAGGAGGCGAACTGTATTAAAACCCCGATTTTCTCTGCTTTTGCCGTTCCGCCTACAAAACGGGTCTTGCTTAAGGACGGAGAAGATTGAGTAACGGCTGGATTTCTTAACGAGAAGGGGGGAAATCAACCGTGGCCGGCCTGCTTGTTACACCCTCTCGACAGCAAGTCGGAGCGGTTCGGATGCAACCTGAAATCCTATCTTATCGGTCCGGTTTGGACAGATAGAATTTCGGGTTGCACCCCAACACCGTTGATTCCCCCTTCTCATGATGAAACCCAGCCATTACTCAGCCTTCTCCGAGTCTGAACGAAGGCACAGATCTTGCCTTCCTTCAAACCAGCACTGGGTTCGAATGACGGCACGATCAACGCCCATTCCAGCTTAAGCTGCTTAGAGACCTCACCTGAACATCTGTTAGGAATTTCTGCCCCTCTTTTGGGCTTGGTTCACCCGTTTGCCTGACAAAGTGTTGGAGGACTTCAAAAAGCCATCCTATATTTTTTTTTAAAAAATTTTTTTTTGCAAAGTTTGGGCAAGGCCTCACAAGCATCCTGCCCACAGAGCCAATTGGGTACTACCAGGCTAGAAACGGCAAATACTTCTATTAAAACCACCTCACAGCGATAAACAAACAAACAAACCAGAAACCAAGTGTGTAAGCTTTTGAGACCAACAGGACGCTTCTTCTGGCTGGATTTTCCTGTTCCTGCTAGAGAATGGGAATGGGGGCGGGTGGGCAAGAAAGTATACAGTGATTGATTGATTGAGTGATCTGATTTGTATCCCACCTCTCTGGTCTCTCCGACCACTCTGAGCGGCTTCCAATATAATAGAAACAATTGATAAATGGTTAACATCATGAAAAGACAAGGTTTAAAGGTAAGAAGAATAAACCGGCATCTTATGTCCCTTAAAAGGCAATATTGAAATTAAGAACAGTAACAGCCGAGGCCTTGATGCTTCTCCTCCAGTCGGCACCACAAAGCTAGGGTGGCAGGTATTAATTTACAACATATTTACCATTTTCAGCTGTTAATATTGACTTTTTAAAACGGTGTTAAGCCACCTCGGGTCCTTTATTAGGTTTATTCAGAAGAAAGAATAAATGAATAAGTAAAATAACAAGTAGCTGAAGTAAAAATAGATATACATAATAAACAAATCCAGGGGGAACTGAAATAAAGGTGAGGAAGACTAGACTTAAACGGGTTGATTATAATAAAATAAAAATATAATTAAATTGCAGGATTGGGTGGCTCCGGTGCCCAAATGAGACACGCCAATAAATAAAAATTAATCAGAATTAATCAGAATAATTCTGGAGCCTGGAGAGAAGAGATGGCTCCAGACCATCAACAAACCACCTCGCTTGGTGTCATTTGCAAAACGAGTATATTAAATAAAGGCATCGCCTCTTTGCACCGGGGAAGTCATGTGACCGCGCGGGTCATGTGACCCGCAGGCTTTGTCAATGGGAGGCAAAGTTCTTTTTTTCCTACCGGTTGTAAAGGACGCTGGTGTTACTTCCTGATCGGGGGAGGAAGGAAAGGTAATTGGGTTGGGTTTTTTTTTGGGGGGGGGGAGGGTGGGATGATGGGGGGGGGAATCTCCTTTCCCTGCATTCATTCCTTGCCTGCCAGTTTAAAGAAAGCAAAGCTGCACCAGATTGATTATCCAAATGACGAAGAGTCTGGTGGGATCCGGGAGGTCGACACAGTTTGTCGAGGAGATCAGTGGGTTTCCTCACTGCTCCGCTTGCAGTGGCCACAAGACTTTTGGGTGGGTGCCACCTTTGATTAAAAACAATCATCCTCGCCGCCTCTTGCAGGCAATACAAGAGAGAAGCAGCAGCACCGCTTTTCCTCCCAATAGCAATATTGGCAATGGTGCGGCTAAAAAATATTGTAAATAAATAAATAAATAAAATAAATAATCATCTTCACGATCAACACTGGGGCTGTGTGGGAAGTGGGAAATCCTTCCAAACCTGCGGAGAAAAAAATTCCAGGTGGAACCAGATTAAGGGGGGGGAGAAAAAAGACCCGGTTCTCTGCCCCGAGGAGGCTACAGTTGGGGGATTTGAGACCAGGTGAGAATCGAGGCTGAAAAAGGGATTTTTCAAAGAGCGATTGGGGTGGGGTTGTAAATAGGCATACTTGAGAGTCAGGCTCATTGGATTCCTTGGGGTTTACTTCTGAGTAGACATGGCACAATCAGTTCTGTGGGTTTAATAATAATAATTCATAATCTCAGAACAAGCAGGGCTGGAAGGGACGCTATGGATTATATGGAGCCTAGCTAGCCCATTTCGAGGAGGGCCCGGGGAAGGATTCGAATTCCGGGCAGCTTTCTCCGACTGGGTGTCTTTCAGACGGGGGACTACAACTCCCATTACCCACCACCCACTCTCGCTGCTTGTATGAGGTTCTCAGCAGGGCCCCCGGGGAGAGATGCTCAGAATAGATTTTTTTTTCCAGTAGGTTTTTAAACTTGGCCTATTCATTTGGAATTTCGTATATATAGAAACGGTGATTTCAAGTGTTCTCCAGTGCTTTAATGCAAACTTTCAACCTTATTAATGTAAATCAACCTGGAGATGTTGGTTCCTAATGAGTTTATAATGAATCATGACAAATGTAGCGTGTAGGTTCCAGGACGTCTGGGTGAACTGTAAGTACAATACACTCTAGTTTGTTATAGTATTTTTATTTTGGGGTTGGGTTAAAAAAAAAAAACCAAGGAGAGCTGTCTAGCCTGTAAGGTGGCAAACTTGATTTTACTACCTGCCAAACTTAAATTTCTCACGTGGAGGGTAGCTTTTGCTCAGACTGAAGTCCAATCTTTTTTTTAAAAGCACATTTGTCTGTTACATGTCATTGTAAGAGTCAGGATAGTACCTTGGTATCTGTCTTTTTAAAGCAAGTTTTATGTTTGTGTTTATTTTGTATTATTGCGTCTCTTCCTGCAACAGTTCTGGCTGATTTTGCTCAAGAGTTGCTGCTTTTCACTGTCCCCCCCTTGCCTCCCCAAAAGATGGATCTGAGCTATGACAGGCCCTCTTAGCTGGCCTCCCCCCCCCAATAAGGAGAGTCCAAAAATGCAAGACGTCGGATCGGAGCATATCAACCAATGGGGAGCGGGTTTTTTGTAAGGCTGATGGCTCTTCATGTCTCATCCGGAACTAATCTCCGGGCTTCCTCCCAGCTTGCCTGCTTTGCTTCTCTGAAAGGGGGTAGTATGGTTAAGTGCTTTGGACTCCTCATTACACGCTCGTCCTGTCCCTTCCTGGAGGATCAAAGCTTTCACGACAACCCTGCCAGGTCGCTTAGGGGAACAGCGGTCTCAATTTTGCCCGGCGATTTGTTTTTGGCTCGCCGGGGACTTGAACCAAGGTTTCTCTCATCACCGCACCACATGGTGTTATGGCAAATAGCGAGAAAAGACCTCCCACAGCATGCATGGTTTGAAATCCTCTGCTTTTTGAACACTTTAAAAAAAAAACATGAATTACATAATGAATCGTCTCCTGTTTACCACCCGATGCCTTCCACTGTTCAAAAATATTTTTCAATCTGTGTCACCAGGGAGTACAAGTTATTATTTCAAAGTCGTATAGGGGAGAAATATTTGTAAAATAAGGTTGGAAATGGAGCCCTGGGTCATTCTCGTGCAAACGAAGCGTTTAATTACTAGAGATGGATTTTTGCTCCATTCTACACCCAGATCTTCAGAAAATTAAAGGGTTCTGGAATTTGGCCTTATGTGGGACTCCTAGGAGGAAAAGTAATTAGTTAGCAACTCGAGTCTATCTTTGCAAATTGTTTTGATACATACAAGTTCCTTTACCAATGTGAATCCTTTCCCCAAGTTATCTTTGTGATTATTTTTTGATCTAACCACTAAGTAAGGTGAGAATTTGTGTACAGTACTGTGGTGGCGAAGATACGGATCTATGAATTCGGAGGGTTTGATTTGCGTCTGGCTGGCAAACATGGGCTTAACAGACAGCCTTGTGCAAGAGCTTAGGGGGCGGGAAAATATGGGCTGGACTACATCTTCCATAATCCTGTGCCCAGGAGGGGGATGCTGGGATCTATAGTCCCCTCCCTCTAAAAAGTTATTCCAAAGCCATGAACTTTTCAGCTTCAGTTACATCTGCTGACAATTGCGAGGATAAGAAGGCAGGTTTGCCTTAAAAGTTTGCAAAACTTACACCTTGATGAGGATATTTATATATGTAAAAATTTCCAAAGATCTTAGTGGTTTTTTTTTATATCTTATCTATCGATCTCCCGTTTAGCTTCAGTACAACCCTGCGAGGTATTTGAGGCAGAGACACACACATAGGGTTCACTTCTTGTCTGTTTTAAAAATCTGGAATTTCCCAGCTAGATGACTCTTGTTTCATAAGCTGTTGGACAAGATAAGCATTAAAGTTGGATTTCACAATGGCTGGCCCTGATAGAGATCAAGGTTTCCTGTAACATTTTTATTTATTTATTTAACTTATATGCCGCCCACTCTCCCCAAAGGTCTTGAAGTATTTACAAGACTTTGAGGAAGTGGGGGTGGGGGGTGGAAGTCATCTTATATAGTATTCGAACGCAAGACTGTTTTACTCCAGGATTTATCCTGTCTTGGCTCATGAGGAAAGCAACTGGACAGAATTTTCCCCCCACATCCTAAAAAGATACAGGAGGAGGAAAGGTAATTAATAGATGGCTGTCATAAAAGTTGATGAACGGTGTAGGCGGGAATGGAGACATACTGATCAAATATGGGCGGGATATAAATCAAATAAATAAATAAATAAATATGTTTCTTTAGTAGCTGTGACTCGGGCGGGAGAGGCGACTGGGTTGGGAAAAAAAAAATCCCCCCAAGTCAGCCGTGGTGGTGAATGGTCAGGGACAAAGGACGAGACCGGCCGTTTGGAAAGAGAAGCCGTGACAGGTAAGGTTGAAGGGCTGGGACGTGGATCGAAGGTGCGGGTTTCGACGCAGGGAATCCCGCGTTCGAATCTCGCCTAGGCCGGCTCTTCCCCGGAAGGGGCGAGCCGGGGATCCAGAAAAACAAGCCCTTAACGGGGTGCCAGAGACCAGAAGGGGCTTCTGTCCTGTGCTGCGTATTTTTATTGTTGTTCAAAAATTCAAGACACAGTCTGTCGTTGGTATTATATAAAAAGCAAAGCGTGCTGCTTATATACCGCCCCATAGCGCTTCAAGCACTCTCTGGGCGGTTTACAAGTTAATTATGCAGGCTACACATTGCCCCCCAGCAGGCTGGGTACTCATTTTACTGACCTCGGAAGGATGGAAGGCTGAGTCAACCTTGAGCCAGCTACCTGGGATTGAACCCCAGGTCGTGAGCACAGTTTTGGCTGCAGTACAGTGTTTTAACCACTACGCCACGAGGCTCAGATATATATACAGTGATGCCCCACATAGTGACAATAATCCGTTCCAAAAAAATCGTCACTATCCAGATTCGTCGCTATGCGGGGCAAAAAAACCCATAGGAATACATTAAAACATGTTTAATGCATTCCTATGGGAAAAAACTCACCACTATGCGGAAATCCTCCATCCGGCTGCCATTTTCGCTGCCCGGTAAGCGAGGAAAGAGTGGGAAAACGCTCCGGGTGGCCATTTTTTCCCCGGCGGCCATTTTGGAACCACCGATCAGCTGTTTTTTAAACATCGCAATGTGATGTTTACTCATTTAAAACATCGCAATGCTATCGCTTTTGCAATTGCAAAAACCAAATCGCTATGCAGATTCGTCGTTAACCGAGGCGCTCGCTATGCGGGGCACCACTGTATATATTTGTTTTAACCCAAAACTGAGTGATTGAGTGATTTGATTTCAGCCAGAAAGACAAGGGGCTTTCCCCACCCACAGCTCGGAAAGCTGGGGGTCCGATTGGAATTGTGGGGGAAAAATGTAGGGCACAACCTTATCTTAAATTTGCTCAGCTCTGCTTGTGCCCAGATAGGTTGGGGGGTGGGATCCATCATCCCCAGCCACTAGTGACCTGGGGACGATGGGCCCTGTGTCCAGCTGGTTGTGGAAAGCTGCTTGGCGCTTATGAAAAGGGAGACCTTTTCTTAAATATTTTTCTCTTCATCTTTTCTCGCCTTCTTTCTTGTAGATGTGGACCCACGCTTGAGACCTACTCTTTCGGAGACGGCCTCGGCCCGGCCAGGGCACCATAGTGGCAATGGGGTCCAGGGAAGCCGGCCTTTGGGTTTCCTTCTTCTTACTCCAGATGGCAACCGGCGTGATGAGTGAGTATGCCACGGACAGCACGCAGGGGCGAACGTGGTCATGGTGGGGAGGTGGTCAAACACGCAAGAAACGAGGGCACGTGGGCCTCCGATACTGCGAAGCCCCCACAGTTGGGCTACTCCTGCCCCTCTTAAGAAGAAATATCGCGTAGCTTTTCAGAAGTGGTGTCGGAGTTTGTTTGTTTTCCTCTACCCTCCTCTTTCTGTTTTCCTCTTGTGTTGTCCCTTTTGGGATTGTCAACCAGGGACGAGGAACAATCAACGGCGACAAGCAGAACTTGTTTCTGCCCTCATGGGTGTGTGTGTGTGACTCATAGTCTGAGTCGGGTGTGGGTGCCTGATACCCCAAAATACTAAGGGGAGAATCCCCCGCCATTCGAGGCTATGAGCTACCCTTGGTGCCCTGGTTTAGAGTTCTAGCCGGCCATCCATACTTTTTTCCAGGTTTCCCTTCCCTTGCAGACGTTACTTATGGATTTCATGGCCATTCCATGTACTCACAACTAATGGGTCTCTTTGGAGCCTATAGACCGGATGATCTATAGGGTCCCTTCTAGCTCTGCAGTTCTAAGAGGAGGAGGAGGATGACAGTGACAATCCGGAAGCAGTTGTGGTTCATTTTCATACTGGTGCTGGTTAATTTCATGCCTTTGTATGGCGCTTCGCCCAAAACAGGCCTCCAAAGTGGCTTACAAATCTAAGAAAGGAGACTAAGCTTGTTGTCTGAAAGGCACAGCACGGAAGGAGAAGGAGAGGAGGAGGGAGAAGGAAAAAAATTTAAAAAGCAAATGCGGGCACTTCATGCAGCCAGTTTTCCAGCCATGGCGAGGTCAGGCGCGCACAGGGAGCCTGCTAGAGGCTGGTGGAAATGTGAACACAACAGTCCTGGCACAATCGTGTAAGTGATAAGATCCTGGCTGTGACTGATGAGTAATTAGCTTGCATTGCTAGCAAGTCATGTTCTGCGCAGGAGTGGCCTTCAAAAGGTCCTGTCCTCAGTAGCCCTGCTCGGCTTTTGCTGACTCAGAAGCCGTGGCTTCCTTGATGGCATCAATCCCTCTCATATCTGGGTCTCCCTCTTCTCCTGCTGTCCTTGACTTTCCCTGGGGTCCTCGTCTTTTCTGCTGGGTCTGTCTTTTCGAGACACGAAGTATGTGCCCGGAGTATGATCCTGCTTTAGTAATAGACATATTATGGGGGCAGGATATAGTGGGTTTCCCCCCTCGCAGCTGCTGATTCCTGCCTGTTACTCTAACCTGGCACCTTGAGGACTTAGGAAATCTGGGGAATAAAAATACCCCAATGGATGCTTTTATCAGATCGATACAGCGCTTCAGCGTTGAGCAACCCGCCGGCGACAGAGCCCGCCCACTGTTTGTCTGCAGGCCAGAAACCTGTCAATCAGGCCTGCGCAAGGGAGCCTTTGGCAACCTGTTCTAAACAGGTTTAGAAAATGTTGGGAGAAACGCTGTCCTTGGTTGACCAGGTTTGGGGGGGGGGGGAGAAAGGCTGAATTTGGAGAAGTTACTTTTTTGGCCCCTAGCTCCCGGTGGTGTTGTCTAGCTGACATCAGTTTAAACCGGCACACCAGGCAGCAACTTCACAACGTTGATGTTTCTTTGATCCTTTTGCAAAAAAGCGAGGAGAGGGGGCTCCCTTGAGGTCATCTAGTCCAGCCCGCCTCTTGGGCAACTTAACGGTTCCAACGTTGCAACGGTCTCAGCCTCATTCTAGAGCCGTTTCGGGAGGAGTTCAGCTTTTCGTCCCCGAGGGCCGTCCCAGGTCCAGAAACGGACCGAAACGAACAAACGGAAAAGCATGAAAAATTCCCAAAAAGGCAGACAGGCAAACAGGATGGTAACAAACCAGCAGGAAGTACCTGCAACGCTTCTAGTCACCCTAGAGGCCCGGCCATGCCATGAATGAATGAGCCATCTCCAAAATATTCTCATCCTCAACAGCTCCAGGTTGTGGTTTCTTTTAGGGAGTCAGTGCATCTCGTATTTCACCTTCCTCTTTTCCTGCTGCCTTTCACCTTTCTCCGGTTCGATTGTCTTTTCCGGGAAACCCTGCCTTCTCATGAGGTGCCCAAAATAGGAAACCTTCGCTTTCCACATTTTTGGCCATCCAGGGAGAGTTCAAGCTTGATTTGTTCGAGGACCCACTGTTTTGTCCCTCTGGCCATCTAAAGCTCTCCTCCAGCACCACATTCCTAACGAATCAATTTTTTTCCCTTGCCAGCTTTTTTTTAAAAACTGTCCAGCTTTAAGCCCCGTACAAGGGGATTGGGAATACAAGAGTGTGGATGATCTTGATCTAGGTCTCCGGGGACACCAATTAATTAGACAGCAATCCGTTAATGAGCAACGTTTTCGTATTGTGATTTTTGCGCTTGCCGGCTCTAATCACCGGTTTCAAACTCCAGTTGCTCCTGGTCTCGATTTTGGCTTTTATCCCCCCCCCACTCCAGGCAGCCAGCCCTGCGAAAAGAAATATTTCGGCCGTGACGCCATGGTCTGCGTTTGCAACCGCACCTACTGTGACACGCATGATCCGGTCTCCCTTCCTCCCGCCGGCTCCTACGTCATGTACGAAAGCAGCAAATCCGGCAGCCGGTTGGAAAGAAGTGAAGGAAGGTTCCAGAACAAGACCTTCACCCCAGGTATATTCCCCTCTCTGTGAATAGAGAATAAAAGCATTTTTGGATCCATGGGGTCCCTAGAGGCCATCTAGTCTGATCCACTTCTTGCAGAAGGAATCCAGATCTTCGAATCCTATCCTGCAGAGATGCTTGGCGCTTATTTAAAAATCTCCAGGAGTGCCCTATATGTTACCCCGGGAATGGCCAGTTTGCGATACCCTCTTTTCAGTTTTTCATTTAAAAAAAAAAATCTTATTTACGTTCACTTCATCTCGTAAGCGATCGAAATGAACTAAAGCAGAATATACAGATGACGTGGCCACTGAAACTGTGTCCCACACCTGGAAAACCCAAATCACCCCATCGATGAAGCGAACAGCCTTCTCGCTTGGCTTGCTTATATTTTCGATTGCCCGGTTTTATTTATTGGCTTGCTTGTTACATTTCTGTCCCACCTTTCCCTCCCTCAAGGTGGCTTTCCTCTTCCCCCACGTGTCCTCCACGCACCACCCTTGTGAATGGATCCGGCTGGGGTCATGGGCCCCCCAGTGAGCTTCGGAGCCGAGTCGGAATCGGAACTCGAGTCTCCCGAGTCTTCGCCCATCGTAATGGCTTCATTATGCGGAACTGGCCTTTTTTCACAGCAGCTGGAGAGTTCCCCCTGAGCGATCCACCCTCTCTTAGCAGACCAACAGGGGGGGAAAGAGAAAAATCTCACCTCTATAGGCTTGTAGCTATTATGGGCTGCTGTTCCACTGTTTCGTTCCTCGGGTCTGACGTTATAATGTCTCGCTTCCCAGATCTCCTCTTGGTTCTGGAGACGGCCCAGCGGTACCAAGTGATCAAGGGCTTCGGCGGCTCCATCACCGATTCGGTGGCCATCAACGTCCTCTCTCTCACGCCGGATACACAGGACAACCTACTGCGCTCCTATTTCTCAGACCAGGGTGAGCGGCTGGCTACAGGCGGGCGCCCGATGCCCCTTGCAAGGGATTGGGAGGGAAGGCGGGTGGCGGGTGGAACCAGGAGCGATAGGCGGTGGGGTAGTGGAGCCTTCGCTCACCGGTTCAAACCCTTGGGAGTTTCTGAGCCGCAGGAAACACAACATCATCCTCCACCACCACCCCTTGAAATCCTGACGGCAGCTGGCAGAGGATTGGATTTATCCAGGAACCGCGTGTAGTTGCAAACCAAGCTTTGAAGGGTGGTTTGGTCTTGGAACGGGCAACTAAGAGCCGTTAACTTTACAAAAGACCCCCTTCTCTATTTGCTGATTTTTTTTTTCTTATCCAACAACCTGCATTTCTGGACTCTCCTTATAGGGTGGGTGCTTCTGGAAATGGATGCAGTTGTCTGTATATGGGAGGGGGTGTGTCTCCCCTTGAGGTTTTGCACCCTAATTTGCCGTTACGCCACCAGGATCCATGGTGACTAGCAAGAAATAGGGTTTCTCAGTGGAGGGTATGGATCGGAGACTCGGATCCAGGCGAAATTAATTTCACCAAAGTTCCTTTGGGACCCGGAAGGAGTTGTAGTTCCTTTTTTAATTGTTCATCAACCCGTTGGTACCATGCGTTTAACCCAAAGCAGGCTCCTAAAAGTGGCTTGCAAAGTTTTCGGAAGCAAGACGACGTCCTGCTTAATCAGCCCTTAGTGTAAAAGACATGGCACAAAAGGAAAAGTGGCACGGAGGGATGAGGAAAAAAAACAACCACCACTCAAGAGCAGACTCGGGCGCTTGATGGTCGTTTACAGAGTTTCAGCTATTGGTATGTTCTGCGTCTCAGAGATGTGGTTTCCGGACAGGGGAAGGCCGGACTCTGCCTCTCTTTGAAGCGGCTTCGGACGGCAACTGGATCCAGTCTGACCAGTTCGGTGTGGAATCTGACCCAGGGACACCCTGTGGGTCAGAGCACCCGGCTAGACAGATGGATAATTTGAGTTATAGGTTCCTAAGGCTAGTTATTCCTGCTCCATACTTCAGTTGGGGAGGGTTGGCTTGCCCTTCGCCCCAGGCAGCATCTTATCTTGGGTCAGCATCGTCGGTTCGGCTTCTTATCGGACCATATTTAAAAGCTAAAAACGGATTGATGCCTACGACCATCAATCCTAAAGACACATTTAAAAGCCAACAGAGCACAGCAATCCGTGTTGGAATTTATTATACGTAAAGCCTTGGGGGGTTGTGAGTTGTGTCATCCATTTCACTGCAGATGTTGTGATAGCCGGCGGAGAAACAGCTTTGCCCAGGAAAAGCGTATGTTTACAGACAAAAGTGTGTGTTTACAGAACGGACAACTAAAAGCCATTAAGTTTAGAAAAGGGGTGTGTGTGGGGGGGGAAAACCTGTGTTAGTAACCATGCATGCCATAAAAGATAGCACATTTTTCCATATCCTGCGATCTGATCCGGAATTTAGGATAGGATGAGAGTTTAGGACCCCCGTATCTGCAGGGAATTTGTTCCAAGCCCCCCCCGCCCCGTGGATGCTGAAAAACGTGGATTCTAGCAAACACTATATTAATAGGGCACCCTATTAGTCTCTGGCTCTCTTTAGTGTCCAGTTCTGGTAACGTCAGAGTTTGAAATTTATATTTCTAGGATTTTCCTTGGAATGTTTTGAGTATTTTCGGACCGTGGATGAGTGAATCAGCGGATCCGGATCCCGCGAATAAGGGGATCCTTACTGGAATAAGATTTTGAGGAAACAAAAAAGGAGGGAAGGGATATTTTTGTCTGTCCTTAAAGCTAGCGTCCTGTGTTTGTGGTGGCCGTTTAGGATTTTTTTTTTCTTGCTCCCCTGCGTTCCCCCAGGGATTGAGTACAACCTCCTGCGCATGCCGATGGCGAGCTGTGATTTTTCCGTCCGCCTCTACACGTACGACGACTGGCCGTACGATTTCGAGCTGCAGAATTTCAGCTTGGTTGACGAGGACGTCAAGATGAAGGTGAGCGTCGCCTGCCATTTGGGGGGCGGGAGAGGCAGGATCATGGCCCTACCCCACCCCAGCAGATTGTCCTCACGGGTTTTGGGGTGTCCTCTCTCCCCTTAGATCCCCCTGATTCACCGGGCTCGGGCGATGTCCAAGAAAAATATCTCTCTCTGCGCCAGTCCGTGGACGTCTCCGCTGTGGATGAGGACCAATAAGGAGTGGAAGGGGAAAGGGTCCCTTCTGGGGCAGGCGGGGGATCGGTACCACAAAACGTGGGCCAATTACTTCATCAGGTAAAAAAAGGGGATGCGAGGGGGGGAACAGGAAGGCCGTACGATTTTGAGCTGCAGAATTTCAGCTTGGTCGACGAGGACGTCAAGATGAAGGTGAGCGTTGCCTGCCATTTGGGGAGGGGGGAGAGGCAGGATCATGGCCCTACCCCACCCCAGCAGATTGTCCTCACGGGTTTTGGGGTGTCCTCTCTCCCCTTAGATCCCCCTGATTCACCGGGCTCGGGCGATGTCCAAGAAAAATATCTCTCTCTGCGCCAGTCCGTGGACGTCTCCGTTGTGGATGAGGACCAATAAGGAGTGGAAGGGGAAAGGGTCCCTTCTGGGGCAGGCGGGGGATCGGTACCACAAAACGTGGGCCAATTACTTCATCAGGTAAAAAAAGGGGATGCGAGGGGGGGAACAGGAAGGGGTGAGGAAGAGGGAGGTGGAGTGAATGGGTGTCTGGTGGAATGGGATTCTCCCAGAATTATATATGGGAATTCGAATTCAGGGCCGTATCTGGCCTTCCTTTGGGCACAATCTGGCCTTTTGCATGGCTTCCCAACCATGGCTCCCCAGATGTTCTCAGACAGCAGCTCCCCGAAATCCCGGATAGCGATGAAATCTTCCGGGAGAGAAGCCTTTTCGTATCTCTTTTCCCCAGCACACGATTCTGGATGTTCTCTGGATTTTCTTCCTTTGGAAAACTGGCATGTATCTTCTGCAGCCGGGCAAGGAAGAGCGTTCAGCTCACATTTTGCCCGGCGTTTTCCCATTCTTTTGGCCTCCGGAACCACCTGCCACTGGAACGAAGCCTCCAAAGTGGCACGTGGGCTGAAAGAAGTTTCTTGTTGGCCTTGTTTCGGTCGTCTTCGAGAACCTCATACTTCGGCTTGACGTCTCAGATTGTGATCTCCCTCCCTCGCCCCCTTTCGTTTTTCGGTCCGAACCAGCGAAATCCAGTTGGTTTGGGCGAAGAGGCCCCTGACGCAGGAATCGAAAAAGTGAGATCGGAGGGCATGTTGTCCATTCCTTCAGGGCTTGTAAATATATCCCCGTCCGTGACAGGAATATTTATGACCGTATTTTTCATCCGAGCTGGGCCTGCCCGTCTGGTTTGGGAATAACGTGCACATTCCTTTAAGAACACTGTTCTGAAGGAAATGTTCAGTGAACTAATTAAAAAAAACATGTTAAATGCTCATGTTGTTATATTTTCTTACAGCAGCCCTTGGTCTGGCCCTCAAACGGCCATGCCTGCCTGTCCGTGGCACCGCCATGAGTCCTGGGTTCAAATCTCTCCTCCGCTGACTGGGAGAATTTCAACTTGTTGCTTTGTCTACCTCATAGGGTTGTTTGGAGGGGAAGGAGGGGCGTGTATGTTTGTTTGAGCTCTTACAAGGAAAAGCATCTATAATTATAAGTAAACAATGCAAGATCATTGACATGGGTACCCAGAATTTTAAATTTGAGACCCCACTTTCAGATTCGAAAATGACCAGTGTCATTATTTCTCTCGCTGTGCAGGTTTCTGGATGAATATGCGAAGCACGATGTGACTTTCTGGGCCGTGACCGCCGAGAACGAACCCAGCGCGGGGTTGATCGACAATTATCCCTTCCAGTCGTTGGGTTTCACACCCGAGCAGCAGCGTGACTTCATTGCGCTGGATCTGGGCCCGGCCTTGGCTAACAGCTCGCACAAGGCCGTCCGTCTGATCATCCTGGACGACAACCGGATACATCTGCCCAATTGGGCCAAGGTGGTACGTAACGCAGGCTGACACAGTTTCGATCCCTGGAGGGTGGTTGTTCCATAGAGATTGCAGAATCCACCTTTCGTGGCATCTTAGACTTGCTTCCTTTTGCCTCCGAGTCAAGCTTCTAGCCCTCAGGGTTCCAGAGGTACGTCAGAAAGACGTGGATAAATCTCAGGCAGTAGAAAAGCAGGTGGCTATGGCTAGCAATAAAGGCAAATGCTATTTTAGGATGCCTTAAGAGAAGCAAAGTCTCCAGATCCCATGAGATATTGGCTCCATTTCGTTCAGCACTGGTTAGGCTGCATCTTGGATTCTGGACCCTGGATTTTAAGACAGATTCAGATAAACTGGAGCCAGTTCAAAAGAGGGCCACCAGGATTATCAGAGGTCCCTTCCACCTCTGTCATTCTTTGATTCTAGGATTCTGCTCCATGGCTCAGTTTATGCAAAATTCTTGGGTCTTTTAGGGCAGAATCGGGAGGTACCAATTAGGAGTGTGGGTTTTTTTGTTTTTTTTGTTTTTGCACTCCAGCTCCCATCAATCTCCAGGCAGAAATTTGGGACTTGAGACTCACAGATCCACACCTAACGCGCAGGTTTTTAATGGTTTCTGAGTTATTTTTGATACTTGCTCTTCTAGTCTTTATGCAAGTTTTGTTTTTCTTTAAATGTGATATTTATATAGCATTTTAAAATTTCTTCTTTTATCTGTTGTGAGCTGATTTGGGTCCCCTGTCGGAAGAAAAGTGACATAGAAATTATTTGAATAAAAGGGACTCATGGAGCTTCTATACCCCCCATTGGTCTCTGGGCAGTTTACAGTCATGCCCCGCTTAACGATTGCTCCGCATTACAACGAATCCGCTTTACGACGATCTTTTTGCGGTCGCAATTGCGATCGCAATACAATGGTCTAAATGGGGGAATTTCACTTAGCGATGATCAGTTCCCTGCTTCAGGAACCGATTTTCGCTTTATGACGATCAAAAACAGCTGATTGTCGGGTATCCAAAATGGCTGTCAGGTGCTTAAAATGGCTCCCCGCTGTGCTTAGGGATGGTTTCCTCGCTATACAGGCAGCGAAAATGGCCGCCATATGGAGGATCTTCACTGGACAGTGAGTTTTTACCCCATTGGAACGCATTGAACGGTTTTCAGTGCGTTTCAATGGGGTTTCTAATTTCGCTTTACAATGTTATCACTTAACGGCAATGTTCCTGGAACAGATTATCGTCGTTAAGCGAGGCACCACTATAATTATGCAGGCTATGTATTTCCACACATAGACACACCCAGCAAACTGGGTATGTACTCAAATTTACTGACCTCGGAAGGATGGAAGACTGGATTGAACCCAGGTTTTTGAGCGGAGTATTGGCCGCAGGACTGCACTTTAACCCCTGTGTCATGAAGCTCCTCGTTTAAAAAAAGAAGGAAGCTGCCGGACGCTCCCTGAGGATTCTATTCTGCGGGGTGCATCTTTGTAATGCCCTTTTTTCTCCCTTCTGATCCCAAGGTGCTGAGCGCAGATAGCCAGGCCCGCCGATACGTCCACGGCATTGCCACCCACTGGTACCTCGACTTCATCGCCCCCATCGCTGACACGGTGGCCATCACCCACCAGCTTTTTCCTGACTACTTCCTGATTTCCACCGAAGCGTGTATCGGATCCCATTTTTGGGAGAGGGACGTGATCCTCGGCTCCTGGGATCGGGGGAATCAATACAGCCGGAACATTTTGGAGGTATGAGCTCAGGGCAGGCGGGCAGTAGGGGCTGCTCTCTCCATATAGTGGTGCCCCGCATGACGATGATAATCCGTTCCGTGAAAATCGCTGTTTAGCAAATTCATCGTCATGCGAAAACCATTTCCTCATCGGAATGCATTGAAACCCGTTTAATGCGTTCCAATGGGGAAAATACCTCGTCGTTTTGCGAAGATCGCCTATAGGGCAGCCATTTTGCGAGCGCCGATCAGCTGTTTTAAATCGCTTTGCGAAAAACGGACCTGAAAACGCCCGTTTTGCGAAGATCAAGCTGCCGATCAGCTGTATTAAATCGTCGTCTTGCGAATAAACTGTCTGCTAAGCACGGACCAAATCGTCGTCCAGCGAAATTCCACCATAGCAATTACTGTTTTGCGAAACAAAATGGCAGTCACAAAATGTCGTCATGCGGATTTGTCCTTTTGAGGGGTAATCGTCTTGCGAGGTACCACTGTATCTCTCTTTCCTGCCCCCTCCCAACCTCGCTGATTCTGGCCGTCTCACTCTGATTATTCCCCCTTTGCCTCTTAGAATCTGAACAACCACGTCGTCGGGTGGATTGATTGGAACTTGGCTCTGGATTTAGAAGGGGGCCCCAACTGGGTCCAGAACTACGTGGACAGCCCCATCATTGTGGACGTGGCCAATGACATGTTCTACAAGCAGCCCATGTTCTACCACATGGCCCATTTCAGGTGAGGGTGGCGGCCCCCCCTGCGACGCGCTCGTGAGCCCCCTCGAAACAGTGTGGGGGGGTGTTTAGCGTCGAGACGAAATTGGGGAGAGATGAAGGGGGCACCGAGGGCGAGGCCTGGTTGAGCACGGATGCCGGTGGGCAGAACTGGGGTGAGAATCTACCGGCAGCTCCGATCCGAGATCCTTCTAGATCAGCTTCCTCTTTTTTCACTGAACGGCTGGATAATTCAGTGGTTGAGGCCTCCCACTGTGGAGCCAGAGGTTGGGAGTTCGAATCCCCCCCAATGCCTCCTTGGCAGGGGCTGGACTGGATGATCTATAGGATCCCTTCCTGCTCTGCGGTCCTAAAATTATAAGGTTATTACTCCTGTTTCCATAGCAAAATGTCATTCACTGCATGGGAAATGTTCCTTTTCTTCTTCCTTCTTCGGATCAGTTAACACTGTTTTTTTTAACAATCCTTATTTCCCATCTTTTTCCTTCCCCCCCCATATCCGTTTCCCAGTCGCTCTGCTGTTCGTTCCTTTCCTGTCTCATCGCCCCCGCTTTGCTTTGCGATGTTGTGTTGCTTCCGACCGACGACGAGCCTTTGGATGAATGACCTCCAGAAACTCCTGTTGTGAAGAGCCGTGCTCAGATCTTATGAAACTAAAAGCTGTGGGTTCCTTTCTTGATTCAGTCCGTCTCGTGTTCAGTGCTGCTCTTCTCCTGATGCTTTCCTCCTTTCCTTGCATTCTCGCCTCGCGCCCGTCTTTTTTTTCAAACTGGGATTTGAAGCCACCAGGATTTGAACTCGGAACCTTTGATGGATAGCCCTGGTGGTCTGGCACTATGCTATGGCTCCTTACTTTCCACCCTGGATCAGTCCCAAAAGATGGTGAAAAGCACAAGGATCATTCTGTAATTCCTGGGACCATTCCCCTGAATTCCCTTTTTTATTAATAATACAGCGTGGGAGTCAAAAGATCAAACTCTCGGCTCCCGTCTCCTTCCACAGCAAGTTCATCCCGGAAGGCTCGCAGCGCGTCGGCCTGAGAGTAGAGAAGAAATGCTTTGGGTGCAGCTTGGAGCACATGGCCGCCCTTCGACCTGACGGATCCGCCATGGTGGTCGTCCTGAATCGGTGAGCGTCGTCGTTGCTTGGTCCCGTGGGGGTGGTGGGGGTGATGTTTAGGAGATAGAGAAGATGGAAACTGGAGAGGCTCGAGGGACAGCATCTGAAGGTGGGTGGGTTTGCGACCTTCCCAGTGGTTGGGTTTGCAGCCTTCAGATGGCTTGGGTTTGCGACTTTCCTGGGGTTTGGATTTGCGGCTTTCTGGGGGAGGCAGGTTTGCAGCCTTCAAGACGGGTGGGGTTTGCGGCCTTCAAGGAGGGTTGGGTTTGCAGCCTTCTGAGTGTTTGGGTTTGCAGCCCCCCTAGATGGGTGGGTTTGTGGCCCATCTGTGCCCTTCCAGCACCACGTTTTGGCACCCTCGTACAGTGGTGCCTTGCTTAATGGGCACCCGCATTTTGGCATCCTCGTACAGTGGTGCCTCGCTTAACGGGCGCCCCGTTTAACGACAAAATCGCATAGCGATTAACTTTTTGCGATCGCTTTGTGACGTTCCCTATGGGGAAAAATCGCTTTGCGATGATCGGTACCCTGTTTTGCTTACCGATCATCGCAAAGCGATGATTTATTAACAGCTGATTAGCGGTTCCAAAATGGCCACCAGGTTAAAAAAAATGGCTGCCCGCTGTTTTCTGGGACGGATTCCTCGCTTACCGGGCAGCGAAAATGGCCGCTGTATGGAGGATTTTCGCTTAAAGGTAAGTCTGAAGCCCATAGGAATGCATTGAAGGGGTTTCAATGCATTCCTATGGGCTTTTTAATATCGCATAGCGACGAAATCGCTTTGCAGCAATTTTTGCTGCACCAATTATCGTCGCTATGCGAGGCACCACTGTATCTTTTGGCACCCTGGGTCAACACCCCTGAGTGTTCTCTAATTACAGGCGCGGTCCCCCCCCCGCCACCTAACCCTGTTCTCCAGAGCCAGATTGCAAGTTCTGCAGTTTTGGGATAGATGGAAATTCACACACACACACACATACACACTGGGTGTGTGCGTGTTGCAAGGCCTTACCGGGAATCGCTTTACTTTCCCCTCACATTCGTGGCCCTGTTTTCTTCCCCAGGTCCGGCTCCAAAGCCCCGTTTGCGATTTCCGACACCGGGCGCCTGATCGTGACTCAGATCCCGGCGAATTCCATCCAGACGTATCTGTGGAGGCGTGAATAAAGGGCAGGGAGCAGCGGGGCTCGGCAACAAACAGGCAGAGAGAGAAGAAAATTGTCCAAGCCATTCCTGGTATCACCCCTGCTCTAAGGACATGTCGACTTTTTTTTTTTAAGGACTACCTCATTTGCTTTTGGTAACGAAGCCAAGAGCCGAGCGAACGAAGCCAAAGGGGGCCTCCGTTTCCGCGGTCTGAGCTGCCATTCTGTGGCAGGAAGGGAGGCCGAAGAAATTCCCCAAGGAAGGTGGCCGTGCGCGGTCTGAAAGGAACGTGGTTTGGGGCCGACAGCACCCAGACACGAACCAAATTGAAAATGAAGGAGCCTCGACCGGAGGGTGGGGGGGGGACGCGCCCGGATCTAAGAGGGACGGGAGAGGTTCTCTGTGCCCTGCCGGTTGGGAGCCGTGTTGAAGTGTTTCCTCGTTAGAACTCTGTCATTAAAAGGAGTCTCGCGCCATCCGTTTGCGTGTCCTTCGTCTTCCCGTTCTTTTTGCTGAAGGGGCCATCGGTGAGGAAATAATGATAACAACAACAATAAATGTGCTGTCAAGTTAATTCTGACTTACGGGCCATCGGTGAGAAAATAATGATAACAACAACAACAATAAATGTGCTGTTTAATTCTGACTTACGGCAGCCCTTTTCAGGAAACGTATACATAGAAGTGATTGACCGTTCCCTTCCTCTAGGGGGCGCTGTGGGACGGTTCAGCTTGCCCGAGGCTACCCAGGCTGGCTCTTCTCCCAGAAGGCAGAGTGGGGGGATTTGAACTCCCAACCTCCAGCACCAGAGCCAGAGATCTAGTGCCACACAGCAGTCCCCAACCTTTTTGAGACCACGGACCAGTTGAATGTATACATAGAAGGGATTGACCTTTCCCTTCCTCTAGGGGGCGCTGTGGGACGGTTCAGCTTGCCCGAGGCTACCCAGGCTGGCTCTTCTCCCAGAAGGCAGAGTGGGGGGATTTGAACTCCCAACCTCCAGCACCAGAGCCAGAGATCTAGTGCCACACAGCAGTCCCCAACCTTTTTGAGACCACGGACCAGTTGGGGTGTGTGGGTTCCATGTGAAGGGGGCAGGGGCACCACTGTGCTTGCATTGCGCATGAGTGTGAGCGCAACACGCCCACCCATGAGAACGACACGCCCCTCCCCAAGCGCAACACGCCCAGCATGCGGTGGGGCCGAGATCCATCTCCACAGCCCAGTTTCATGAAGCCCATGGACCGGCACCAGGCCACAGACCAGGGGTTGGGGACCTCTGCCTTAGCAGATATAACCACCATGGGGAGGGAATCACCCAGTCCAACGCTCTTTCTCTCTTTGGTTTGCCTTCCCCTGGTCCGTCCACTCTTCTCCTTTCGTACTGGTCTTTCTCTCCCTCTATTCCAGTGCCCTCGCTCTTCTGCCTCCCCATTATCCAACCCACAAGAGTCTCGTTTCCTTTAAACTGTTTGAAGAGCTGTGGGTCTCGCAGAGAAGAGCATCACCTGGAGCAGCCTAGAGGCCCTGTGGCGATACAAATCTCCCAAGCCTACTTCAGCTTAAGGAAAAGTCTCCCACCTAGAGGCTGAAGATGGTACTGCATGCTACAAAAAAAAAGAGATTTGAATGGACTTAAATTTAATCCTTTAAAAAAACTGAAATAACCCCATGAAGGCTATCCCCAAGGTCTCTTTAATATCCATGTGACATTTTAGGTGTCTTAGGTTTCATTGGCTTTAAGCTCTGGCAGAATTAGACACATACCCTGATCTGATTGCATTTTTTAAAAATTAATGTACAGTGGTGCCTCGCATAATGAGCTCACCGTTTAACGACGAATCCGCGTAGCGATGTGTTTTTTGCAATCCTTTTTTTTATCACATTCCGATGTTTTAATAGGCTAAACATCACATTGCATTTTTACGATCACATTGCGATGTTAGGGAAACAGCTGATCGGCGGTTCCAAAATGGCCGCTGGATCAAGAAAATGGCCGCCCGCAGTGTTTTCGCGCCCTGCCCTCGCTTACTGAGGCGGCTTACCAGTGAGTTTAATGCGTTCCTATGGGGTTTTACGTTCTGTTTAGTGATGTTTCCGGATAGCGACGTTTTTCCTGGAACGGATTAACGTCGCTATGCGGGGCACCACTGTACATATTATGAAATGAAGTACACAAACTTACCATCGAGAACAGACTGATGGCAACTGCATTTGTCATCTTCCAAAGAGATAAATCATCATTCGGTTTTACATACAACATGAAAATGTTAAACAGTTCTTACGTCAGTCCTCTTGTGTTGGTTGGCTGTCTGGCTGGCTTTCCCAATGCCAAGTTTCATCACCGATTTCTCCTCTTCTGAAATAGATATTTTCCGTCCTGCGGACCACTTTTTACTCCTTTGGATGAATCTTCTTCTTGTAGGTTCAGGTCTCTGCTTGCAGAGCGAGAGGTTGGGAGTTCGAATCCCCCCACAGAGCCTCCTGGGAGAAGAGCCAGCCTGGGTAGCCTTGGGCAAGCTGGACAGAGTCTCAGGGCTCCCCCTAGAGGAAGGGAAGGGTCAAGCACTTCTGAATAATTCTCTACCTAGAACACCCTGAAAACAGTCACTGTAAGTTGGAATCAACTTGATAGCACACATCATCATCATCATCATCTTCATATATTATCAAGTATGAGATATGGGATCAGTTAGATCCATCTGTTTGGTGCTCCAGGGTTCAAGTTGATTCTCCAGATCGTACCCCAGATTAATTCCTGCTGCCTTCAACTTTTCCTGACTTGACTGTCTTCTCCAGAGATTTTTTGCTTGTTCAAGGTATGACAGTCCCTTTTAATCATTTTTGCTTCCCGAGAAAATGCCGGCTCTTCAACTCTTAATTGAGCCGCGCTCAAAACCTCTTTGACACCATCTGTTCCCATTGCGATGTCATTTTGTCCGAACGCTTAATAGGTTCCTTATTTCTCTTTACGAGGCTGATTAATACGGGCGTACCTGTCAAAAGCCCCATAATGCCGTTTCTGCCTTTGGCGTTCCATCAGCCTTACGTCGGGATAAATTAATGCTTAGGGGCTGGAATGTCAACTTTAAAGAACAATGCGAGTGATGAGCGAATCAGTTTTCTTCGAACATCCCATTTATGAAAAAAAATTGATCATATTGGTCGCAAAGCAAGCAAAGAAATCATTGACTCACGCAGTTTTCATCTTCTACCTAGTGACTCCTTCACCATTAGCTCTGCTGGTTGGCCCTAATAGGAAGTGCAATGTAATAACATTTGGAGGAATATAATAATGATGATAATAATATTAGAACTGCAGTTCCACCGGTAGAGCCAGATTGCTCAGCCGGCAGTTTCTTGGGTCCCCCTTGAACTGCATTGAACTTTACCGTGGTGCCAGTTACACCGGCTGGCACAAGGCAAGCCGACTTCGCAGCTCCGGCGGAAAAGAGGGAGGCGGGGAGGTAAGAAAGGCAGCGAACCCGTTTGGTGATCCGGGACGACGCTCTCCTTAAGGAGGCGGGTAAACAGCGGGTATAAAATTGCACCTTTTCGGGTTTCAACCTGGCGTCTGGAAAATGTTTGCCTTTTTGCCGGTCCTCCGGTTTTGATGTGAAATGCTTTTTTTTTTTTTTGCAAATGTCTGGAAAATGTTTGCCTTTTTGCCAGTCCTCCGGTTTTGATGTGAAATACTTTTTTTTTTTGCAAAGCCCTGTGGATGATGGGTGTTGTAACCCCCAAAAGAAACTTTTTGGGGGATTCTATCACAGTTGCTGCCAGCTTTATTGCGATGGGCCGCCAGGTGGCTTCTGACTCACGGCAACCCCATAAATGAGCCATCACTAAAGTGCCCTGTCCTCAAGAGCCCCTGAAGCCTGTGGCTTCCTTTAGGAGACCGTCCTTCTCGTATTGGGTCTTCCTCTTTCCCTGCTCCCTTCAGCATGACTGTTCCCCCCCCCCTAGGGAATCCTGTCTCACCTCAGTGATTAAAAAAATTCCTGGCCGTTCAGGAAAACAAATAAACGTTGGCGTCTTCCTTCTGATAATAGTCTCCAAGATCACTCACCAAGTACAGTGGTACCTCGCAAGACGATTACCCCTCAAAACGACGAATCCGCATGACGACGATGTTTTGTGATCACCATTTTGCTTCCCCAAACAGTGATTCCTATGGGGGGATTTCGCAATGTTTTGTGACCACCATTTTGCTTCCCAAAACTGATTCCTATGGGGGGATTTCGCTGCACGACGATTTGGTCCGTGCTTCGCAAACCGTTTGTTCCCAAGACGACAATTCAAAACAGCTGATCAGTGACTTGATCGTCGCAAAACGGGTGTTTTCAGGCCCATTTTTCGCAAGACAGTGATCTAAAACAGCTGATTGGCGTGCACAAAATGGCTGCCCTATGGGCGATCTTCGCAAAACGACTAGGTATTTTCCCCATTGGAAAGCATTAAAGGGGTTTCAATGCATTCCAATGAGGAAATAGTTTTTGCATGACGATTATTTCTCTAAACAGTGGTTTTCACGGAATGGATTATCATTGTCATGCGGGGCACCATTGTAGCCAGATTCTCAGGTCTCAGAAACTTGAAGGTAATTAGACTTTACATGGTCTTTTAGTGCTAAATATTTTTGTGAAGTAATTGGAATTTTGGAAACCTGTCAAGGTCTAGTTTTGCCCCTTGACTGGTTGAAGGATCTTAACAATGAACCGATTGACTGACTGACAGGGAATCCTGCCTGCTCATGAGGTGCCCGAAGGAGAACCGCCTCAGGTTTCAACTTACTTGCCTCCAGAGAGAGTTCAAGCTGGATTTGATGGAGGAACCCCCCCCCAGTTCATCTTTCCGGCCGTCCAGGGCATCTGCAAAGCTTGAGCACCGCCTTTTGAACTCGGCACATTTCATCTTGGCCCCGAGGCCAACCGCCTTGAGGAAATTGGCCCCTGTTCTGGCATCATTTCGCTGGAATGCTTCTCCAACCTATTATTCCCTTTTAATAAGTCTTCGTTTGTGTGGACACGCAAGAGAAAAACATTACCGCTCAGTTTCTGCCATCTGCTTTCTGTTTTCTTGTCCCGCCTCGGTAATTATCACTGTTTGATTTAGGAAAAAAAAAGATTTAATTGGCATGAGGGGTGGAAAAGGCCTGGAAGGAGAGAAGGCCACCATTTCTTCATCATA